TTCAACTCCCAGAATTCCCCAGCCAGCATGCTGGCTGGGGAATTCTGGGAGTTGAAGTCCAAGTATCCTCAAGTTGCCAAGATTGAGAGACACTGCTTTAGAGGCTGAGTTTTCAAACCCACTCACCTTTAACACTGCCGACGTGTTGACGTGGACCAGTCTGACTTCAGACAGGATTGTCTTCCAAATGTCGTTATCCGAGTCGCGGTTCACAATTTCCTGTGGGTTTGAAAGGCACATTTCTTGCATGGTTCCTGCTGCTGCAGTTTGGCTAATGCTTTGCATGTATTGTTCTTGCTGTATCATCGCATTCAGCATTGGAGGATAACTAAATTAGGCAAGGGGTTTAGATCCAGGATTTTTATTTTTAGTTCAGCCCTTTAGGGGGTGGAGGGGAGGGGTGGGGAGGGGAGGGGAGACAACTCTTAAAAATTCCTTTAAATTCTCAACCATCTAATTCCATCTTCCACACTCCCCTGGAGCAAACTCCCAGGGGACATACTGTAAGTAACTTATCTGTGTGCATGTATTTTGACAAAAACTGCCCCTTCCTCTGTCCCAGAGGAAAAGCTCCTTGAAATGAAAAAGTTCCCAGCTCTTTGCATGAAAGAATAAACGAAAGCATTGTTTAGAGGTGTCGGAATGACCTATCACCCAATTAAAACTGTGCAAGACATCCCATTTGGGAAAGGTGAGAGATACCGTCCAGAGTCACTTTTTCGTGAGATGAGCGGTATCCAAATTTGAAATAATCAATCAATCAATCAATCAATCCCAGGCAAAGGAGACTCCGTTGGGTTCTCTTGAGCTTGGCATTTTTGCTTGCAAATGTTTTCTTACCTTTCCTGATGTCAGGGAAAAAACCTCATTAAACACGGGAGACAGACACACCATATAACAAGTCACCTCAAAGTTCTAAGTTCTTCAAGAGCTTTATTTAAAGTTAGTTCAGCAAGAGAGTGCAATCAATAACATACTTAGATACACATTGCAATGCGGACCGACAGGAGCCAGCCGTCACTGAGACAGCTTGACCATGTGGGTGCAGACCCCCAAATTGCGATCCTTTTTATCCTTTAAAACTGCAAACCACAATCATGACTCTTAGGATTTTCATAACGTTCCCAGAGCTAATTTCACCACACTTTCCTGTTCCCTCTGTCCCTGCCACGTCTGTTCCCATCAACAAGTTTGCTTATTTAACAGTCTGCTCTAGTTTCGCAAGTTTTATTTCCTGTCAGTGCCCTGAAGGCTAGCCCTCTTTATTATTAAATGTGATTAAGCAACATATATCTATATCAAAATAAGTTTTAGGCTACTAGCATTTTTCCTCTCACACTGATTACGTCATCAGTGCATGGCAGAGGAAACGTATCCCCTTTGCAACGACGGAGCTCAGCATCGAACGGTCAGGTTCACAATCTTCTCAGAACCTGGCATTCTTCTCGCAAGACCAAAAGAAGATCATGAACCCAACCCTTCATTCAACCCCGAGCTACATATATTCTCCATTATTGCAAAGATGGTTTCTTTCAGTGGCAGGTGCTGGGGGGAAAAAGTGGAAATGAAGCGCACTTCTACCTCCCAGGAGACATCCTTGTCCTTCTCGGATGTTCTCTGCATCCTTTGCAGAGGAGAACAGCAAAGGAGCATCTTCACGCTCTCTTGGCAACCCCCAGGCACTTACCACTCTCCAGAGATTCTGCGCGGGCATGGAAATGTTGTAATCGATGTAACAGGACACCTCTTGTGAGTGTGGGCTCAGGGGCGCAGCCACATCGTGCCTGCGGAACGGAGAAAGCCAACATTGGGCCCAGGTCCCTCCAACCATGTAGAACGGGGACACAGGAAACCTATATTTTTTCAGGGGCGTTTTTCTTTCCTTTTTTCCTACAAAGAACCTGTTCTTTAGGGAAACAACATCCTGCATTAGATACTCATCCAGAACACTTAGTATGAAGCATTTTGCACTAAGATGGTCTTCTTGAACATCTGGATGGCATCTGGTTGTCAAAATATCTGGCTGGGTGGCACTTATCTTCGGATTGCTCTTCCACTAAACTCAAGAACTGTGTAATTCCTGCAAAGCACGATTTCTCACCGTGAAGACCTCCTGGACAGAATCTTAACTCGGTTTTTGTCCCCCCCCCCGCCCCCCGCCTTGCATTTTAAATCAAGATAATTTCTTAACGTTTGAGCAATGATAAGATCAGCATCTTAACTTTTTAGTCTTCCATTATAGACAGCAATACAGGATGACAGTCTTTTCACGGTTAGGTATCTCTTGAAAGTTTAATCCTTTTATGCACCTTAGTTCTCCTCTGTCTGAGTTTTAACTCGCTTTTTAAAAAGCTGTGCTGTTCGCTTAACTACTTTTCATCTTTCTCTTAAATAGGATCCTACATCTTTTTAACTCGCTTTTTAAAAAGCTGTGCTGTTCGCTTAACTACTTCTCAACTTTCTCTTAAATAGGATCCTACATCTGAGTCTTTTAACTCGCTTTTTAAAAAGCTGCGTTGTTTGCTTAACTACTTTTCCTCTTTCCCTTAAATTGCCACCATTTCTGTTTGCTTCAATCTGATCATGGACTGTTACAATAGCAGTTATTACATTGCGACCAGCGCAAAATGAGTAGAGCTCAAATACCGATCAGGCTGTAAGCAGTTTCCAGAAGACACGCGGCTGGAAGCCAAGGGGAAAAGGGCTTACGTGTTAAGGTAACGGGTGGTAATTCCGTGGACCAGTTGCACAATGTTGCCGTGCCGCACGGGCCGTGGAGGGTTGCTAGCTACCAGCTGCTGCCTGTTTGGAAGAAGCAGAAAAACAGAGGCTTTAACCAGCAAAATCAAACTGGAAAAAGCCTTCCCTGGCCTCCACTGGGATCTGCAGCTTTTTCAGGGCACGGGACCTTTGCGCGCTGTTGGTCTTTGTTCATTTCTCCAATTAAAAAAGAAAAAAACTAAACCCTAAAAACTTGAATGAGCGTTGACCAAAAACACCCAATTTGGTGCCTGGGAACGCCTAATCTGTTGGTAATGTTTTACATGATGAACGGTTGAGAGCAGAAACATTAATCTTAATTGGGCCCTGGTTCTAGACATCAAGGAAGCATCGGATCCCTTCAAAATCAGGAAGGGAATAAGGGCTGAGAGCAAAAATACCAAACCGAACCAATTTGAAGAGTCAGGTGAGAGCCCTCAGTCAAGGCTAGCCCTGCTGCCTTTAATAAAAATAAGATCTCCTTGGAGCTGAACTTGCCTCCTGCTGATTCCACCCACACATCCGTGTCATTTTCTCTGCAAGAATCCAGAAGAGTTTTCCCACTGAGTCGTCCGATATATTTTTCCAGTTTCCCAATCTGGTTGACAACCCCAAGATCTCCTCGTGGTCTCCCATCCAAACACTGACTAAGCTTAGCTTCCCGGCCCAGAGGAAATCAGGGCTACCTTTAACTGAGAGTAACCGGCCATAGAAGGCGGCAGTTTGGCGTAGTGGTTAAAGTGCTGGATTAGAAACCGGGGGGCCGTGCATTAAGTACAGAAGCTGGTGAGGTGACTCTCTCTCAGCCTGAGCAACCTCACCTGAGCTGTACAAAATAAAGCTGGGATGAAAACCTCAAGTGCTCGACCCATGACGCAATACAGCTGCAAAATCGGTACCCATATTTGGGGATCAATTGTGCCAAACCAGAAGGTGAACCCAGAGACTTACCTCCTGGGATCCTTGACAATCCACCAGTTATTCACATCCTTAAAAGGATAGCAGGTCACCTGTTGCTGATGGGAACTGCCCCGTCCGTTTTCATACCTGGAGAAGACATGGTTGAAGCGCGACATAGCCGTCTCTGTGGCCAGAAAGGGATACAGTGAAATTAGATTTTCCCCCCCTCCTGCCATGCCCAATTCTGGAACGGAAAGAGAATTTCTTAAGCCTTAACCCAGCCCTCTCTTCAGCCCTCTGTTTGTCCTGAAATTGCAGATGAAATTTCTGAAGGGGTCTTTTAGGGCACATAAAACAGATTTCTTTTCTCCATGTAATAGGAAGAGAAGATAGAGACGCCAGCCCGTCCAGATCAGCCAGGTCAGGAAAAAGACGAAGCAAAGATTTCAGGAATGCAACTTTATCGTTGGGGGGTATAATAAACAGAAACTTGAAAGCCGGACAGATTTTCTTATACCAAACAGACTCAGGGCAGTGTTATTTTGAGATTCTCGCTTATATTTTTGCCTTTGCAGGACTGAATTGTATCTTATTTTGCCTGAACTGCCCTGAAGGCCTTCACCCAAATTATCTATGGATCCTCTGCAGGAGACCATTGCCACCACCTTTCTGGGTATCTGTGACTACGATTTCCATCCTAGCTTGGCATCCACAGAATAATAAAGGATTAAAAATATTTATTCTCCTTTTCTCTCCCCATCCTCCCTTCCTTCTGTGATCTGTGGTCTTCAGTTGTCGATCCAAAGATGTTTCTTATTCAATAAGTCTTTATCCGAAAGATAAATACTTTGAATGGATGAACACAGAAGAACATTTCTTCTGCTCTTCATCCGAAAAGAGCTTAAAAAACTGGCCGGTAAAACTATTCATACAATAAGTACCCGATATCATAAAAACCTCAACTATAACAGAATCCAACAGGGAAAGCAGAATTTAAGAACCCCCAAAAGACACAAACAGCATAAAGACCCGGAAATTTCATCTACAATTTCTGGAGAGGGGGCTGAAAAGAGTGTTGTGTTAGGGCTTAAGAAATACTCTTTCCGTTCCAGAATTCGGCACTGCAGGAAGGGGAAAAAAATCTAATTTCACATAGAGACAGGGTACTAATTCAATCCAGAATACTTTGCGAACTTTTTGGATTTAAAAAAGTAGAAACTCCTGAAGATGTCCTACAGAGATGGGATCAGTTGTGGGACAGGCAGGGGTTGCGCGCAGCATCCCGTGTGTGAAACTCAACCCTTCCTCTCACCTGATGGGGTAGGTATTCCGGTGGGAATGAAGCCAGCAAGGTAAGGGTTTGCCCAAGATATTCCTCAACGTAATCTGGGACCCATAAGCCACTTCCAAGGGCTGCCCCTGAGTGATGCGAGAAAGACCCCCCTAGAAAAACGCAGAGAGAATTCGTCACACACCAGAATCCAGAGGTCCAAAACCACCAGCCGAATTATTTTTTTAACATTTAAATATTATATTGGTAAAGTGTAGCAACATCAAGATATGATAAAGTACAACGAAAAACATAAACACGGCTGACGTAGTCAAAAAAGAATATACCAAATAGTAATCACAGGAGTGACATTTGAAGAAACTACAGACATATCCCTAAAGTGTTAATAGAGAACTACCTCAATCTTTATTATTAAATCTAGCCATGTAGACCATCCTTTACTCCATCTTCTCAGTTTTAATATAGTCTATTATGACACTACAAGGATATTTATATAATAGATTCTTAATATGCTGCTATTTCGATAAGTGGATATTCTATCAAAATTATTGACGGTTTCAGATATTAATGGGACAAGCGTGATGATTATTTAACCTTCTCTTCAAGATTAAACATAACATTGGAAACGAATGAGAAAATAGAAGAATCCATCAAGGGACTAGTTTTATAATAAGAGTTTCGGTCTTAAGGTAAATTACTTGATATTAAAGTCTCCATCATATCGAGTGTGTGTGTGTATATATATATGTGTGTGTGTGTGTGTGTATTTT